GGACTATTTAACATATGACAGCAATTTGAAAAATAGGTAAAAAAAACTAAGAAATAAGATAAATCAGAATCCTAGATTGTGAGAGTGCTGCATCAGATTTTTAATGTCCAACTTTATATAGATATATAGATTATACATATATATTATAAATGGTTGGGTGAAGTGTCTATATATGTTTAATTTGCTGTCAAGAAAGCCTATTAAATTTGTAAGTGAAGGCAAAAAGACATTTTAGGTGGAGTAACATTTTATGCTTTGGGGTGTGTTTGATATGAAGAAAAATATTTTCTGAAAAATATTTTTTATTTTTTAATTTTCCCATATTTGGTTGGCTTAGCCTTATGAACTCATTTTCTTTCAATTGGAGGAAAATATTTTCCTTATCAAGATAAGGGAAAACATTTTCTAAAACTCCTTTTCAACCTTCCCCACCCTCACCAACCCACCCACACTCCCACCTCACGCGTACCTACCCCACCCCCTCTCTACAAAAAGTTTTTTTTTTCAATTTTTAATTTTTTTCTCGTCACCACCCACCCTGCTCCCCCTCGCTGTAACGACCCGATCAGTCGTTTTGAGCTTTTGCACCTTTCTTGTCATTTCTCGGGCATGACAATACCCTGTGTGATGGATTATGACTTATGTAAATCGTTGGTTTTGGTTTTCAGGATAATCGAAATGAATTTGGAAGAACAGTTCTCAGTTTGAAGCTTGAAATTTGAAAAGTTTGACCAAGATTTGACTTGTTGGTATATGATCTCGGATCGGAATTTTTATGATTTGGTTAGCTCCGTTAGGTGATTTGGGATTTAGGAGCGTGATCAGAATGCATTTTGGAAGTCTGTGGAAGGTTTAGGTTTGAATTGGCGAAATTGAAATTTTGGCATTTTCCGGTTGATAGGTGAGATTTTGATATATGGGTCGGAATGGAATTTTGGAAGTTGCAATAGCTTTGTTGTGTCATTTGTGACGCGTGTGCAAAATTTCAGGTCATTCGGACGTGGTTTGGTTGGATTTTTGATCAAAAGCGTAATTTGAAAGTTCTTGAAATTCTTAGGCTTGAATCCGATGTGATTTTGGTGTCTTGATGTTGTTTTGGGAGTTTCGAAGGTTGGCATAAGTTTGAATGAGGTTATGAGATATGTTGACATGTTTGGTTGAGGTCCCGAGGGTCTCGGGTGAGTTTCGGGTGGTCAATCGGACCATTGCATGTTGTTTGGAATTGCAGAAAATTGCTGATCAGTGTTGCAGAGAAATAGCCTTCGCGTTCGCGAAGGGTTAGTTGGTGAAGTCTGGGAATTAAGCCTTCGCATTCGCGAGGAAGTCTACGCATTCGCGGAGGGCTGGATGTTTGGTTATCGCGTTCGCGTAGAGTAGACCGCGTTCTCGTAGAGTAATTTGGTCAGCTGGACTTGATGCATTTTTATTCATCGCGTTCGTGAGTGGTGTAACGCGATCGCGAAGGTTTAGTCTGAGGAAGTATTGCGTTCGCGATGGGCTGGTCGCTCGCAAAGAGGAAATTCTGGTCAAAGTTATTTTCCTTAATTTGCGTATGATCAAACACCGAAAAATGCATAAGATTGCTACTTGTTTTCCAAAAAAATATTTTCTTGGAAAACATTTTCCATTATACCAAACACACCCTTAAACTTTTGTCTTTTTAATTGAAATTCCATGCTTCCTAAGAAAAATCGTCATTATACGATTAATCAAGTTAAGATACTTATAATTAGGACAAGTTAATTAGAAATGGTTATCTTATGAAATTTGTGTCATTTGAAAAACTTATGAGCACTGTGAGTGCTCCTTAGTTATAGTCCATAGAATCTACACAAAGAGGTTGATTATTGCACACTAAAGTCTGTCTAGCTAATTAATTGAGCAAGAAAAAAGCAATGCAAAAATGGATCAATATCAACGTAATTTTTTGTGGGAAACAACTGCCACCAAAAGGAAAATGCATCTTCTAAAATGGAAAAAAATAACAACTTCACGAGAAATAGGAGGTCTAGAAATCCAAAATTTAAGACAAAAGAATACTGTTTTGCTAGCAAGTCTAGCATGGAGAGTATTCCATTCTCCTCAAAAACTTTGGGCTAACATCTTAATTAATAAATTTGTTCATCGAACTCCTTCTTCGAATTTCTCCACATCTTGGCGTAGTATATTACAAGGTTGGACAAGTTGTCAAATTGGTTTAAAATGAAATATTGGAACTGATAAAAATATAAATTTTTGGCACGACTGTTGGATTAAAAATGGATTGACTCTTTGTTCATTAATTAATAATCCATTACCTTACTTGCATAATGAGATGAATATTCACACTATTTATAATGAGAGTTGGAAATAGGATCTTTTACCTTTTGATCTACCAAAGGATATCCAAAAACATATCACAACTCAATACATTTCTAGGTATAATTTTACAAATGATAGCATTTTCTGGGCTTTAACTCCTAATGAAAAATTCACGGTCAATTCTATGTAAAAGGCCCTAGAAAATACTTTTGATAATAAGCATAATATAGTACCAACATTCTGTTGGACGTGGAAGCTTCCAATACATCTAAAGATTGAATATTTCATTTGGCTTCTAAATCATAATAGATTGCCTACTTTTCAATTCCTTCATCATCTTAATATTATTTGGAATTCTGCATGTCAATATTGTCACAAGGAAGAAGAATCAGCCACTCACATTTTTCTCAAGTGTGAAAATGATGCAGCATATTGGCATGAATTAGGAATGAGGATATGTTAAAACACTTACTAACTTCAATATGCCACGTGAATGGCTTACTAAATTAATTAATTATACAGATAAAAAATTCCCTCATAACATTAATTCACATACTTATGTACCTTTAAGTCTTTGGAATATCTGGACCACTAGAAGTAAAAATATTTATAAACACTTACATAAGCACATCAGTGTCAACCTTACTACTCAGCAGGCTATTGAATTTTGTTATCTTACTTCTTCTACTCATAAAATACAAAGGCATGTAAGAACTCCTTTAAAATGGATACCTCCAAAGCCTAATATTTATAAGCTAAACACGGATGGTTCTAATACATCATCTTTGAATAAGAATGGCATTGGTGGATAATTCGGAATCATAATGAAGACTGGATTCTAGGGTTTTGGGGCAACATTCCATCGCAATCTATACTTATAACTGAGATGTATGCATTATTACAGGGACTTACTTTGGCTAGGCTTCATAATCTAATACCAATTCAAGTGGAAATTGATGCCAAAGAGGTAATTACAAGACTATGTAATGATAATCTACCGTTTGCTAATCTATCATGTGATTGCAGGCACTTACTAGGAATGCTCCATGATCCGTAGCTTACACATGCGTATAGAGAACAAAATAGGTTAGCATACAAATTAGCAAATTTGGGAAGTCTTTTGGAAGGAACTAATGATGTAGAAGTCTTGCACAACCCACCACCTTTTGTTGAGCAAATTTTGGAAGAAGACAAGTTAGGACTGCCAAGGTTCCATTTGATTGATCAAGAGCAAACAACTACAGTACATGGAAGGAACACCTATAATCTTACTTCAAGCAGTGTTGGAGGGTTCTGTAGGGATAACTCTAATCCTAGTATTTGTAATATAATATCTGGTATTACTCCTAACTTACTTGGCTCTATGCCTAGTGCTACTACAAGAAATGTGGTTTGTAATATGGTGCAATATCAACACCATCTACTCTGTACGCATGTTTACTTATATATAATATTTATCTTTAGTACCAAAAAAAAATTTTATTGTTCTTTTTTCTGACTCTTTTGTTGTGCGTAGTTGAAATTTCAAATAGAAGGTGGTCCCTTATGCGAAGAGACTATCGTTTAGGTCAATGGTTGTATATTTTGGCTATTTATGTATAGTAGAATATAATCAAAGTTACAAATTATTCGAAAGGTAAACAGGGACGGCTCAAAATATCGGGTGACCTAAAGCGAAACTTAAAAAAGGATCCTTACAATTTCCTTTTTAAATTATGATCACATATATTTCTAGGAATGCAATTATTTGAATCATTTATACATTTATGATCTTCGTGAGTACCTATATTAGATTATTCACTATTTTTTCTTCTTGGACTTTATTATCTATATTGAAAATATATTATAATTAGAGTTAGTTAGTTAGTTAAAGTGGAGTTACAATACAATGAGAGGACACGTGACTATTAGGTGTCCAGCTAAGGAGCACTCTGTATAAAAGGAAGGTCTTCTTCCTTATTTGCATAACAGAAAAATATCACGCAAATTTTCTCTAGAACATTCTACTGTTACATTGCCTACGATGGCTTCCTCTCTATTATTGAGAAAAAAAAGTTATTGGTGAAAGCTAATAATAATAATGATATTCTACAATTTTACTCTTGAAAAAAATTATTATGTTTTATCAATTTGTTAATCTTGTTTGAGTAATATTAACTTTTATTTTATAACTCAAATCAAATATGATATTTAATGTATTATTTATTTTAAAAAATTACTGAGATATTTATAAAACTAGTAGATTTAAAAATTCGGCACTATTAATTTGATATGGTAATTAAAAAATCCGAAATTTAAAAACATAAGACTAGTAAAAACAACTCAGACCTATGTACACCCATATTCATATTATTTTTTTCTTTCTTTTTTTGTAGAAATTCAAAAGATTTACTTGCTGATGTTTACACTGTACATGCTTGTTTATATAGAAATGAAAAAGTCAGAAAGAATATTCTCTTCTATAACTACCTATACAGTTGTCCTATTTCTAATTGGCTAATGAATAACTAAATTATATTCTGTACAAAAATAAATGACAAATGTATGTATTATCTAATACAGTCAGCTAGTCTTCTAGAAGGATCTCTTTTCTTTTGATTTCTGCTGATACAGCCCATTAAGGAGAAAATATTGGGCTTTCTTTTCTCTTTAGATAAAGCCTGCTCCGGAAGCCCAAACTTGAATGAAATATCTTTAGGTTTCATTGAATTAGCCCCAAATCGATCCGTTACCAAACTTCTCCTCTTTTCATCTGAAGAAACCAAGATACCATCTTTCTTGTCTTCATCCTTGATTTGAACCAAATTGAGACGAGTTCTATCTTCAACATTTTCCCCCTCAAATACCTACCACGCGTTTCTACTTTGTAGAGTTCTCTCTTCTCTTTTCCATTTCTAGATTTCTCGGGGACACAAGTATATTTCTAGAACTCTCCTGACTATCCGCGACTCATCTATTTATTTATAATTGCTGATTGTTTAATCAGAATAATCATAATCATTTGAAAAATTGCCCAAACAGACCTTAATTCACCGATCGGAAAATCTCCTCTCTGTGTTAACTACGTCCACCGGTCATTGCTATGTCGACGGTGACATCAACGCCGGCCGCAGCCGCTTATTCTTCGCAATACAATTACTTAAACGGCACATACTTTCCGACGCCGTTTCATCTCCAACAACAACCATCTCAGCCCTACATTGGCCCTGCTCCTCCTGTCTATTCTGCTCCGGTGTCTGTTCCCGGTGTTTACACTTTACCTCAATATCAACAAGTAAGCATTCCGACGAGTTGGAGCTTTTGTTTTCAGATTTTTTTCCTCATAAATATTGACTTCATTTTCAATTTGTACATTTCGTCTGTGGAATTTGCTTTTGATGAACTGACTTGGATTTTGATAGGGAGGTAAAAAAACATAGCTAAATTCTAAGAGGAATATTTTATTTATTAGTGGCTCGTATGTAAAAACCTTAAATGTGATCATATGTGTACACATGAATATACAATAGATACATGACTTATGTGCACGCACACATAGATGCATGCATGCCTAAATAGAGGCGAACCCAGGATTTGAATATAACGGGGCACCATGCCATTAGAGTGACTTACCCAAAATTTTATTAGCCAATAAAAGAATACATATAGACTCTAGGATAGACCAGTAAATAAGCAGCATAATCCACTATATAATATAAACTTGCTAAGCAAAATACAAAAATAAATTAAGAAGAGCTTACACTTCTATTTCATCAGACATCCCAATTGACCTTCGAACACAAATTTTAAAATAAGCTTTCAATAATGAGTCCAATAAATTTAAGAGTCCGAATACAAGAAAACACAATATTAATAGAGAAACCACACCCAATTTATCAAGAATAAAGCAAATACTACAATATTTAAGCAATTCTTGAATAAGTGAAACATGAACAGAGAACAGAATAGAAACAGGTCAACACCGTAAGAAACATGCTAAATAAAGTTATATTCGAAAATAACATAACATTAATAATGGACAGTGATGTTCAAAAATAATGTTACCTATACGCTATATTCCAAAAGTTAATCGCATTATGGACAGTGAAACTTTTTAAAGAGTTATCTAATTTTTAAACATATTGTAAATTAGAATTCATAAAAAGAATATAGCCCATAAATCAAGAGACCACTCAATTTCAGAGAAAATGGGAGCTCAACCTAAACAAAATCATTTAGATAATATATTTGGAGTTTACCAAGAATACCTTTGTTGTTGATTGTTGAACCAAAAATTTGAAAGCTAAATAAAATCCTATAACCTCCATCTCCAATTTTCATGCTCTTATAATAAAAAATAAATTTCAAAATAAGATAAGCAGTAACCAGAGATTTGAGGTCTGCTACTTTTTCAAAGTAATACGATGAATTGAGGAAGAAGGGTTTGTAGTCCCTTCTCTATTTTGCAGTGAGGAGCGACAGGTTTGGATTTTGGCCTTTTGGGGTTTTTGATTTTGAGGCTAGGATTTTGGAGAAGAATAAAATAATAAAGTTGACTATTATGTATAACTATTACAATATAATTAAATTCAAAAAAGAAAAATTTAAAAATATAAATCAGTCAACAGTTGACTACTGATTAATAAATAGTACTATTGTAAAGTAGTTCTAGTACATAGTTCCTGTTACAAAAAGTAGAAGAAAGTAAAACAACTAAAAAATGAATTTACAAGAGGCTAGTCTCGAACCCAGGTCTTCTAGTAAGGGACAAACTTCACACAACATACAAAACCATCACTCCAGTTAGCGTTTGGTTATTGAGGGGGCCAAGAAAAATATTTAAGGGGTCCCCAAAGTATATACAACTATATATAAATATATATATACAGGGTTTTTGCCGAGGCTAACGAGTTCCCGTGACCCCCAAGCTCCCGTGTAGGTCCGCCTCTGTGCCTAAATATGCATGTTATGATATGTTTACACAGAGTTTAAGTTCTATAGAATGACAGTGTAACTGTATGTGACTTTTTTAAGCATGGGTTGTTAACCTAAACTAAATGGTAAATAACCTGTGAAGCGGGGGCGAAGCTACCCTTGTCCAAGAGGAGTCAATTGACATTCCTTCACCGAAAAATTACACCGTATAGATGTATCAATTTTTTAATGTACATATACTATATGTCGAGTTCATTATTATTTATGTGGTATGACCATGACATGAGCGGAACTTAAATGAAAAGTGAGGAGTGATCTAGCCGATCCCAACTTATTTGGGGCTGAGGCGTAGTAGTTGTTATAAACTATATGATTAATTACTTTGGCTTCTTCGTGTTTACTTCTTTTTATTTGAATTCTCTTAGTAAATATTTTGGCTCCGCCGCTGATAGTAGGTTAAATTAGATTGATAGTGTAAAAATTATTTACACAGTCACTGTTTATAACTTTTAAATCCTTAAAAAAATTGAATGTTTCTTAGTTCCTGCTTCCCATTAACAAGCAAATGGAAAAGAATCTTCTTAAACGTATTTGAGGTAGAGCCTCTCTGCATCTTTATCGATATTGTTTTAAGCTTGGAATTTATTCTCTCAAAAAAGAAGATTTATTTGATATTTGATAATGTTACTAACGTGCCTAATTGTTGTGGATGTATAGGCGCAGCAATTATTTCAAAGAGTTGCACAAACTATTACGCCTGAAGCAATTGAGAATGTGAAAGCTGCGCTTGCAAACAGTGAGATTGAGCAAAAAGCTGAGGCCAAAAAGAAAGCTGTGCCTCGAAAGGCAGCAGGGCAGACTTGGGAAGATCCTACCCTTGCAGACTGGCCAGAGAGTGAGCTCATGCCCCATTTAATTTTTTCTTCCGATTTGGTTTGGCGTCGAATAGTTGATTCTATTTAGTTTATTCTTTTCATGCTCTGCGGTTGCTCCAGTTTGTTTTCCTTGTTGTCCCGGATAGCTTTTGACATGAATTGAATTGGGTACAACCTTGTTTGAAGGGTTCTGGCAGTGTTTATAGGAAATGTCACGGTTGTGATGTTCTGGATAACCATGCAATTGTAGGGTCTAGAATTTAGGGAAGCAGTGATGAATGTCGAATTATTTAGCCGCCATGCAATTGTGGGAGCTGGAATTTACGGAAGTGTGAATTAGTCACCTGTGCAATCATTTAGGAAATAAAAAAATAATTTTCATCTTGTATTTTGGTTCAAATTTCCTTGAAAACTAGACATATTTGGAGATTAGTAGCACAATATTTGGATTAAGGGGAGATGCTTGTCCAAAGATCAAAATTTATGCAATTTAACAGAATTGAGATTGAAAAATATTTTGCCACATACTGCAAGTGTTTAGAAAGTGGGAAGGACTGGGGTGTATGAGGTCCTCAAATAATGCCTACCCCCCATCCAAACCAACAGAAAAAAGGTAAAGCTTTCATTTTGCTTGGCGAGGAAAAGAGAGAAGAAAAAAATCTCTTTGAGGGAGTTAATCTTCTTCATGATAATCTTTTTGTTTGAGGGAAAATTTTTGGTTGAAGGAAGTGAAGGTCTTCCTTGTAAGCCAATGCATGAGTCTAAGTAACACCTATCATGGCTATCACCTTTATCTTATGTTTCCTCTTTTTGCAATTGGGAAAGGCTAGGTAGTTAGAGCTGGTTTAAAGCAAAACAATTTGCCATAATGAATATGTAACCACTAAAAGTACAACCTGGAAGAAGCGTAAATCATCATATTTTACTAAAAGTAGGAAGGTCCTAAAGCTAAACTTGAATTACCAAAATATCCATAAAAAATTAGATGGCCATTTTATCCTTCCTTTGAACCCTACTCCTATACTATTTTTGTACCAAAAAGTAAATTTACCTTTCAATAAATGATAATGTGTATGAAGTCTACAATAAATTAGGTAAATAAGAAGACAATTGTGTAATAGACATTGACAATGAACCAAGTAAATGATAAAGATGTACTGATGCACCCTTTCGACTCCTCCTTAGTGGAATTGTACTACGGCAGTCTTTGCAACCCTTGCAATTACTTTCATCTTCTCTATTCAAATCACTGTATAGAGAAACCATTGTAATTAAAAGAAACTTTTTTTTTCATAAAAAAACATTCTTCTTTTGATTTGCTTATATCTGATTGTCATCTCTTACATACAAAGCTGATCTACAAATATCAACTCTTCTGTTACTTTTGCGAGTGTTTTGCTAATGTCAGAGCTTTTTCTTTCAGTCTTCGTCTTCTAACCATTTCTTTTTATAGAGGATAGTTAGATTATGTTTTTAAATTTTAATGTACGAATTACTAAATTCAACATACTAAAAAGTGGACTAGGATTCTTGTGACGGAATTATGAAGAGGAAAGATTTATTAATTGTTACTTCATCGTGGCTCCTAACTGGGGGGAACTAAATTATTGTTCCGTATTGTTAAAACTTGATCATATGAACCGTTGAAACTTTTGCTAGAAGCCTTGTTTGAGTGTGTTCATTTACTTTTTCCTCCCAAATTTTGTGTTTTTGGTTAAAAGGAAAAAACTTTCTTTATCCTCATGAGTTAAAAAAAAATTATGCTAACATTTGACCTTTCATGGTATGACATGATGGAATTTTATATATATAGAGTTAATTTTTCTCTTTCATAGATGCTGATTTTTTTTTGTGTCCTCTATTTTATTACACATTGTTTGTTTAATCTTCGAAAGTTGAAGTTTCAACACTAACGATGATGAAGTTAGATCATGTACCGGTGGTAATAAATATGTTATTATCAAATATATGTTATTTTTTATTTTTCTCCCTATTTAGTTTTTGCTACTTTAATAGATCTTGCTCTTTCTCTCATTAGAATTCTTTCCTTCTCCGTATTAATTCTTCTTTATTTTATGGCCTTCAAATAACTGTTGAAGGTGCAGTTTAATTGGAGATAATCTTTTGGCATTTCATGTCGCTATTATTCTACTGAGTTCTCCTTTAAACTGTGATTTCCATTTGGAATTGAACCCCACAAAAAATTATTTTTCTATAATATACTTAAAAACTAGATTAGGTGTTCTACATCCCTTACGAAGCAAACACAAGTCTCCTAAAATTTTGTATTTGTATCTCCATAAGGCACTTTATTCTTTTAAACTACCTACATGCGCAATACTGCCGGATAAGTCAAAGTACTACATACAATAACATTTACGCTGGTTTCTTATGTATGCATCGTACCTACCTAGCTGAATTTAGTTGTTCAACTTCGCTGTTCATACATATCTTATCATTTCTGCATTATCAAGTTTGAGGTTGTATTTTTTTCTTTTTAATTTTGTGTAACTTATCATATATGTTTTTTTTTTAAATTTTCGGGAACTAGTGGTCAGTCTATTACAGTTGAATGATTAAGTTGACTATTGGGGTCTTGCAGATGATTACCGTATATTCTGTGGTAACCTTGGGAATGAGGTGAATGATGATGTTTTATTAAAAGCATTTTCAAGATTTCCTTCATTTAACATGGCCAGGGTAAGTTGTCTTGAAGCACTCATGTTTTCTCTATACTTTTAATTGTCATGGATGAACTTGTGTTCTGTCGTGAAGGGGCTGGGGTCTTTGTCTCTAGAACTTTACTTTCTTTTATATCTCATATTTCCATATCCTAAACATTTATGAAGTTGGGAAAAGTATTGATTAATTAAAAGAAAAAATGAGAAGATTTGGGAAAGGCTAGGAATTCTTATGTTGCTATACAGCAAAAAAGCCTTTGTTGGTCTCTTGGGTGGAGGAGGGCTCCATTAACTATTTAGAAAGAACATTTATTCTGCAAACAGATTATTCTTAAAAGCGTTCTCTTTACGTATCTGTGCCTCTGGTGCAAAGTCCAGTAGCTTTTAAAGGTTGAAAACTAAAAGGAAGCGGATAGTATTACTGAAATATGTGATGAAGAAAGGAACCAAACTTATATTGCTTGAGCCTTGACGTGTACGTATAAAGTGATTTTCTCTTTCAAAAAAGAAATTGTGACTGTCTCTTTATCTGTTTTTCGTGTAAACTGGTGTGTTCACAGTTGTTGTCATGCCCATGACACATGTATATTTGCACTAAACGAAGTGTACTTTCAGCTTTTGAATGTCTGAAATGGTGAGTTATCTAGGTTGGTGAGCATCCGTACAAGGAGATTGTATTGGTGGTGATCTATGTCCCAAGCACTTGGGTATAAACAAGTGTGGATCTATGGTATGTTCAATTCTTAGAATATCTTGAAGGATCTGAGACCCCACCTTGATTTTCAATTTGAATGTCAGCTCCAGGTTTGGAACTGTCCATAGGACTGATTCAGTTATCACTACTGCCGGGCCCCGTGACTATCTATTCATTGGATTTGCTTATTGCCTTTTCTGTTTCGTATAGATGGCGCAGGTTTGCAAATACTTTAATCTAATGAAAAAAACACAGAGCATAGTCAGAGGGATACTCGCATCAGTCGCACTCGATCTCAATTCTTCCTTATTTAGTCATAACAACCAATCCCTCAGAGCAATGAATGCACTCAAAAGCAAAGATTTTATACCCATATTTCTTTTCAGGACGCTAAACATCAGATGAATAGTCAGTGGAGTGTAGGTGGTGATGTCTTACTTCTTCCCTTCGACATATCATGTTAAACTTAATTTGTTACTGCCTTAAGCATGCCACTGTAGTGAAGGTTATGTTTCACGCAGCATTGTGCTGAAGTTGTCGTTTCTGTGGTAGTTCCTCCATCACCACCCTTGCCTTGAATAAGAAGAGAAAAGGTATCTATGTAGGATGCAAATGGGAAAGAGGCGATCTTTTTTTTTTAAAATGTATTTGAAGCTGACGTATATGTTTAATAGTTTGGGGTCTAGTTTATGTGTTATTAATGGTTTTATAAGTTGCTTCTAGGTTTAAGATATCTTTCAAATTCATTGAATCAAGGGTATTTGGTGCTTCAGCAAAGTTTCTTTTTTTAGGGCTTAGATAAATTCATTTTAGTGCTACCCTAGCTTTACTTTGGTCCTAGTTGTCTTAAAAGTCAACTTCTAGAGTTTTGTTAGGTGAATTACATGCAGATATAGATATATCCTGAATTGTAATTGGACCTCTATGGTGTTTGCTATTCGATGAAGTTGTTGTTGCTTCTTTGGTACTTTGATCAAATGGAGGGGGGTCCTTATTCCTAGTATTCAAAATGGTAATCCCAGACTTTCTCTTCTTCATGTCCATGTCCACCGGGCTCCAAAATAGCCTTCTTTTCCAACTTTGCTATATTATACTTGGATGTCATGGCCTTCTCTCCTCTTCTTATATTCATGTCACTCTTCACCTGGCTCCAATTAGCCTTCTCTTCTGACTTTGCTTTATTATGCTTGGAAGCAATAGCAATACATGGCGGCTTCCAATCTCTCAAGTCCAGTCACTATTCTAAAATACTCAGCTACACAATCCTATAATGCAACCTTGAATTGGTTATTCTGCCTCTTCTACAGATCCCTTTTCTGTCCAATATTAAGTATACTATCTTTTTCTGCTTTTGTTGTGTAGTGCTTTATTGTCTATTTGAATATTGTAAGTTATAAGATCCTGTAAAAATTAAGGATTTCTACATTGTAATGATGACAGGTTGTGAGAGACAAGCGGACTGGTAAGACCAAGGGCTATGGGTTTGTAAGTTTCTCCAACCCTTCAGACCTTGTCACAGCACTCAAAGAAATGAATGGTAAGTGTTCGTTTCATGTATATGCAGGCATAGTTTCTTATTGTGCTTCTGCTACAAGCATATTCATTGTGTAAGGGTCTTTGACTGTTGGATGGTTAGCTTTTTCCTTTTGTAAATCACCAGACCGGAATGGTATGAGAAGATTACTTTCATTTGGATCTGACATTTTCCTTGTTATGCCGTTTGTTGATGCTTTATATGGGTTTCTTTCTTTCCCTTGTGTGATGTCATAAGGTCAAAAGATCCTGCCTTGCTTGGGAGAGTGTGTTATTTCAACCCCCTTCTCCCCCAGCGCCAGAAGTCTAGCTGGATGATCCAGCAGCACAACAACTAGAAGAATGGTGCTTTTGAAATCGAATTAGGTAAAGGAAAAAATGAGATACGGATACTTTAGTGAAAGGAGTTGAGCAGTGTGGTTCCTCTTAGGCTTTGTAAAATGAAGACTGGTCACTGCTGTTTGAAGTTGTTTTAGTTGTTTGACTGGATATCATATTTTTGCTTGAATTCCTGAGTTGACAAGGTACAATAATTTCAGGGAAATATGTTGGAAACCGGCCAGTTCAACTTCGAAAGAGTAAGTGGCAAGACAGGATTGATTATGAAGCTTTGGAAAAACAAAAGGTAATCATACTTTCTAAATGATCAGGCCCACATACGATTATACATTCTAAAAGTGGACATTTCACTATATATTTCTTGTTGAATGTTTTGGCAGAATGTGTCTCCGAAGAAACCAAAGTTACCAAAGAAGAGTGTATTGCACAAGTGAGCGTCAAATCATGTGATTATGGATCAATGGTAAGATATTGTGGATCTATTTCTATGACCATTTGGAAAAGGAGGGAAAAAGTGGCAAAGTCATTGAATAGAGATGCTCCTATTCAACTTATGTAGTGCTTTATGTTTCAGTTGATGATAGTTCTTTTCTCCTGCCTTTTATGGCCATTAGAGCTTGGACTTTCTCGGCAATAAGATTGTCGAATGGAAGCGTAATTGTGTGAGATATTTGAATGTATTCATAAATTTGTCTAATTGAACAAACGATGAAAACTCGCTCCAGTGTTTAGTGTGATCAAATAATCTTTATAGAGTTAAACTATGGCTGCCCCATGTGAGTTGCCTCCTTTTGCAGTGCCTTTCTCTTATATGCTGAAGTTGAGTCGGGAATTTATGCGAGGGGATGTGAATTCTTTATAGAAAAACTCATGTCTTGCTGATGGTGATAAAGTAATTTCTTATTAAGAATCACTAATAGTAAATTTTATATTTAACACTATATTCACTAGCAACGCCACTCGTCCTTGTTTCCTCTTCAGACAAAATAATTCAAACTCATCTACCATAGACGGAGAGCTTGTAACTCCATTTTGGTGCAAACTTCGTCTCTCTAATCCTCTTTTCAGTACGCAACTCTCCTCTCTCTTACCCTTCCTGTCCCTTTTGGTGCCATAAGATTTGATCAAAATGCGACCCGTGACCTAAAAAAAAGCTAAGTAACTTCTTCAGATTTCTCTAAACAAAGTGGATCAGTGTTCGGAGATGTGATGCAGTTTCTTTCTTTATGACATGAAAATTAGTATTAATATTTGCTCTTTGTGCTCATCTCTGGTCTGCTAAGTTTATATTTTAAATGTGGTCTTCGTTTTTGTTTCATGTTCTAAAGGTTATTAGTTAGTAGAGTAGTTAAAAAGCCATTAAAATAACCAATAAAAAATAACGCAGGATAGAATTTTTTAGAATTATCGGTTATATGTTATTCCTGTTAAGGAAAATTAAGGTAAAATTGCTTCGCAAGAATTTTAAAGTTTGTTGTCAGAATTGGAGTAAATTTGACTTTATCCATTTAATCTTTTAGGGTTGAGAAGTGAAATGATATCCCTACACTTTTTGAATGGGAACGGTAAACCTCGCAGGATTGGGAAACAATACCTCCCTCACCTTTTGAGAAAGAGACGAACCCCCTTTGACTCAAAAGTCAACAAAAATGAAATAAAAAAATTTATGTCGGGATTTGTAAATGTCATTATTATCCCCGACGGAGAGAAACTTTAAATATTACAACAATATGATTAATTTCTTCCTTCAAAGAGAAGCATCTTCAAAAAATTCTGATTTTACGCTAATGACACAATCTTGGAATTCACTAATACTTAATTCAAAGAATTATAAAAGAATTAATTTTTTTTCATGTAAAAAGAAATATCTTTAAAAATATGAATTATTACACTAATAATTGTTAGATGCTGCCAAGGCTAAAGTTTCTTTAAAATCTGGTATTCATTCAAGAAGTTTTTCCTTTGGCTTTTGCTCCCTGAAGGTAAACAAATCTATTTTTGCTCTTTATGAATATATTCATGCTTTTATATGGATATTATTTGGTCTTGTGGTGTTTTGTTAGGATATAAGAAGTGGTAATTGTGGCAACTTGGGGTGTACATGGACCGGGTTGATTATGTTTTTATTAAAACCAAACCAATTATATCGGTTTGGATTGGTTCGATTTTGTCGGATTTTTCGGGTTTTCGGGTATATTGTTACATGAATATTATTTCAATCTTACTTTGTTAATTTTTTTTTATAAATATATGTTTAGTAAAAATTGAAAAAATTGACAAATATATGATCTATTAAAATAATTTTGTGGGAGAATTTTATTAATAACACATGATAGTTATTTTTTTAGTCGTCTGACAATATATTTTCGTTTGATGTATACTTTTAAGGTTAAACGAATTTACTAATTAAATATAAAATCATTATGATACATGTTTAATGATATGTTCTATTTAATTTTAGATTGTCGAAATACCACTTCAAATTCGAAAAAAGATAGTATAAGATTTTTATAAATCTTGACATATGAACATTGAAGAACAAAGAGATTGACGGATTTCAGTTGCACTTGATAAGAAAATGATCATATAACTCATTACTTAAGGTTAATAAAAATAGTGTACTTCATATTCTATTAAATATTACATCCTATAAGAGAATCCCAAATATTTCTAGAATTTTTGTAAAGAAAATTCTATGTAAAGTTTTAAAAGTATATATATAAATTATTTATTTATATATCGGTTTGGTTCGGGTTTTTTTACTCAATACTAAACCAAATCTAGTCGGATTTTTTAATCTATTTGATTTGACTTTTCAATTTGGTGCGATTTTCCGGTTCGATTTGTACACCACTGAGTTATACAATGCCTACAAATCGTATAGGTAAGGGAAGAATAAGAAAAGAAATACATAATCTAGGTTGTGGTAGAGAAGCAACTTGCATAAATGTGTTGCAAATGATAAAGGAAGGCAGAAAAACTACCGTGATTAATACTAATGATATACAGTTATTGATACCATATAGGATAATTTCATACTATATGGGATAACAATCTGTACTTTTTAAACAAATTATTTTGGAGGAAAAATTAATTGTATTTGTTTGACTTAAAAGATATTGGAACCTTTTTGTACAAATCAATCAGAGAAAATGAAGGGGTAAATCTCAGTCAGACATAATAAATTCCAGATCAAAGAGTTGATAATTTAGATAATACATAGGATGAAAGAAATAAAATTGATCTTATTGAAGTTCAACATTGTGACTCCCATCAATCGATGGGAGAGATAGCTTTATGTGTTCTTCTGTAGATTAATTCTTTCCTATCAAGATTACAAAAAGAAAACTTGGGAGAGAGAAAGGGGGGAGGAGCCTCCTCTAATAGAAGGTTTTCCCCTACTATATATAGTCAAGGTCCCCTTGCCATTTACTGGGTCCGACGCTTTTTCGCATCTAGTGTGCTCTGGTCGTCCTTTTAAACATTGCTCTTTCTGACTCGACGGGTGTCGAGAATGGGAAGTAGAATGAGCTACGTTATCTCTTACTATCCGGTCACTTAGGAGAGACGTTGATCAACTCGGCCGTGACGGTCAGATTTTGACCAATACAGTTAGTTCCTCCGTCTGTCGGGATCGTCCTCCGTCGGGCCGGCAAACGGATCATGATTGCTATGAATTCGAGCGAAATCTGACTTCTCGTTCCTTAGTTACATTACTTGGGTTTTAGGCATGGTGGCGGTGTTCTCTTGATACCCGTGAACCGTTGCGGCTGTTTCGGAACCGAAACATCGTTCAACATCGAAGCGTTATTTCGTGGTTATCGCCATTATGACACACGTTCCTAGGGAACTGAAATGTTTCGTGCCCTATCAGGTTCAATTGGTAACTCTTGGGTTTCGTGCTCGGGGGATCTATGTATCTTATAAATAGAAAGAACTTATCATTCGATTGACACACTTCTTTACCTTTTACTCGAAAGAATTCTACGAATATACTTTCTTCCTGACATTCCAAGTTTTCATTTGCCCTTTTGTTAACTAAGAATTTTCATCCTTTCTCTCCGTTGTATTTTTGCCGTATCTTCTGGACAAAATGGCTGGTTATTCCTCTCACACCGATCTCCCCATCACGATTCCGGCATCGGAAAGTGCTGCTCAGGCCACTGGAGGGGTAGATGCAGTGGAAGACAAGGAGGTCCTGTCGATAGTTGAGATTTTACCTCGCCCTGGGAGAGAATTGACCGACTTCAGCAGTCACGCCGGGCGGAGCTGGAGCCTGTCCCTTCTGTTATGAGAGAAGAAGACATTGCAGAGTTGAAAACCAGGTGGGGGATCCACGGCTATGTCAACATGCAACCGGCGGAGGGAAATGACATAGTTAATTTTGACCGTCCTGGGTACTGTGTATTTTACGCTTACCCCTTCTTTATTGGGTACACACTTCCTATCCCTCTCCCGGTGGTGGACTTCTGCTGTTTTTATGAGGTACGCCCTGCCCAACTTTCGTCGTACTTGTACAAGTTGTTCCTTATGTTGCTAAAGTTTTCGGAACTCGCTGGTCATGAGATCACCTTGGACCACCTGCTTAGTATCTTCGCCCCTCAGCTTATTCGCGGCACGACGCTTCACATGCGTCCTCGGGGGTCAAAGAGTTTGGTGATGAAGATGGACGACAGGACTAACCATCATTTTTATGATAATTATTTCTATGTGCGGACTAAACACATTGTGAAGGATCCGACAGGGTTCCCTGAGAAGTGGAACTTTGCACGTAAGTCTCATGATTTTAGTCGGAGATATATCCGACCGTTTTTTGTTACAGTACTGAACCTTGTTATGTTTTTGCAGCTGAGAAATTGCCCCTCCACCTGTCGAAAATATCCGCAAGTAGGTGAGCTCTATTCTCCCTCATACGGCGGGGGTCCGCATGTGGGCGGCTTTCTATGACAAGTGTGGGCGCAAGCCTCTTTCTAGTAAGATGTTCTTTCTATTCACAATTTTTCTCTTTTCCCTCTGTGTATTTAATTCCTCACGTGTTGTTCGTTGGTGTCAGTGAGGGCTCCTCCGTTAGCTTTCTGGCAGCCAGCCTCATCTGCTCGCCCTATCGCGGTACCTACTACCCGACCTTCGTCGAGGGATGCTTCAGTTGAGTCTGCGGCCGTGGTTACTCCTGCGAGGGCCGCTTCTCTGGCCAATGTTCTGACCCGTGCCATTCGCCCGGCGGTCGCCTATTGGGTAAGAAGAGGGGCCATAAAAAAGACGACAAGTGGAGTTCGAGAAAGTGCCCCCAACAGTGATTCATCTAGACGACTCTCCTTTGACAGGATCTGGAGGGGGGTTGTTGTGGCTTCCCCCATTGGGACGGAACTGGACGTCGTCTCAACTCAATCAAAGATTCCCACCGTTGTCGGTGGTCAGCAACCTATCGTGGTGGAAGGTCAGATTTTCGGGATCGTCGTTGTAGTTTCGGACGTACTCTCGTCCTCCACATTGGGTCGTGCTTCCTCTTCAGCTGCTGAAAGAGGAAACGCCGTGGTGGTCGACGACTATGAGTCTGAATCGGACCTCGACCCTGATGATGTCAGGATGTTTGAGGAGGGTCTTACTCACTCGGTGGTTCGTGCAGGAGGCTTAACCCGTATTCTTGAGATCCCTTCGGATGTCAATCTCTTGGGGGGCACGGAGGACCTAGTGCCGCAGTTCAATATGCTATGCTCCGCATCCGAGAATGCGGCCCTTCGGACCGTTCCCGATGTTGACTTGATGGACGAGTTGACCGCTATGGGCTT